CACGCAGAACGACCGTACCCACACATGTATAAATATAAATATTTATATCGTGCGGTATGTGCGTGTACCTTTACCGATATATTCGTTTGGACGAGTGTATCCCGCGTTGTTTATGGGGGGGGGGGGCCGCGACGGCGGATCCGCGGCGTCTTCGGGGTTTCCGCATAAAAATAAATCCCTCCCGCGATTCGTAACAATATGCGCCGTGAAATATACGTCGTACGCGCGGCCGTATAGGCACTCGCCCTCCTCCGGTCGGGGAGGAAAGCTTTTTGCCGAAATGCCGATATGAAAAACTACCCACTGCGGCGCCGCCCGCGGCAAATGGAAATTTATGTGGCCCGCACACACGCGCCGACCGCGGGCCGTAAGATTTAGTCGGCCGTACACGTTTTACGACAGGTGTAGACATTTTTTGTTCGATACGTTGCAGTATATTATTATTATAATAATATATACTCCGCTCAGACTTCGGTGCCTGCACTGCAGCTGCGGCTCCGCAGTGTCAATGCCGTCCGAAATTATTGTTTAATTGGCGCTTGGCGTGGAAATGGAATTATTAAATGGCGATGCACGCCACGCGCGTGATGTTTAAATATGATTTAACGTATTATATCAGAGTGGCGTGTCGTATACGCGCGTGTGCGATGCGTGCAAATGCCACGGGCCCTCGGCTCGGGGAGGCCCGTCGATGCTCGAAAAATTCGATAAATACGGTTATGTGCGAACATTTAAAAAAAAAAAAATACCTGTTGGCATTTGTTTAGTTTTGCGCGCGGCGGCCCGTCTCTGGGATAAACCGCCACTGAATTATAAACATATAATATATTATACGCGTCACGCGTTCGCGTACATAATATTATAGCGGATTCGCGAGGTCTAACGAAAACAAAAATCTAATTAAATCGGCTGTCGTTTTGTTGTCGCTATTAGTACGCGAGTGTAACCTAATAATCCATTCCCGCAGCTATATATATTGTGCGTCGCAGTGAAGAAAATCACGAGACGTTGTTTCCTTGGCAACCCAATTATTCTCCGATAAGACGGATGAGGTAGATCACCCGAGAGGCGTAACATCGTTATTACATGGCGGTTAAATATAATGAAGATACAACATAATTCGATAATATTTCTTTAATTCCCCCCGAAATTAAGATGTGAGTTTTAAGTAACATTTTGTGTGCATTTATTATTAACCGTAATCCAAGCAAACTCTCTGCAGACCTCAAGTGCTCAACTGAAAAGGTCATGCACGCGCAATGTGTAAAGAATATAATAATATGATATTATAATCAAATGTGAGTTGTAATTAATTATTATTATTATTAATCGTAACGATTTATACAATAAAATAATAAATATCAACTTTTTAATAAGAACAGTTCGGATATTACAATATTCTGATATTATTACGAAAGTAGGGTGATTAGTCTTCTCTTGTATCCATCAGTTTTTGATGGATTGATTAAGAAAATTCTGGACCACAGAGTTTGCCAATGACATTCCGTTGATTGATGAGCGTTCTGTAAAATTGTACGGAACTTTAACAAGCTAAAATGCTACGATAGGATTAGCCAATGGGTCAACAATTAGTTGGTCAAGTTGTTATTATGTAGGAGAGTATGTGAATTTAATTGAAACGCATAGTAAATATAGGTTGTTTGTGCTGTCAAAATAATTCTAATGTTATACTATTATATTTCGTTTCAAAACCTTCAGGAATATCAAAATTACATATTAAAGGTACTACCATCATTTATACATTAATTTTGTATTATCATTATTGATTTTATTCAAAATAAAAATATTTAAACAATGGAAGGTTTATCTTCCCTTTTATTTAATCGAATAACAATAAAATATGATAGATTGTAATTTTTTTAAGTGGTATTATGTATCCAACAATTCATCAAATTCAGAAGCAGTACTACTCGTACTAATGAACGACTTATACTTGAGTTATATTTCTCGTATAATAAATATAAGTATTACTGTCGGTATCATCATACTTTCTCAAACTTGACTTTTTACTATCTAGGTATACTTATTTATTTCACACATTTGAAGACATATTTTCGTGAAATCTCAAAGAGTGCTTATAGTAAATATAATGTTAATCATCCAAAATTAAATATATATATTGTGTGTAAATAATATATTAGTTTACGGTTAGTTAGCAATCTTCACATACCTAGTACTTACAAACATTTTTGAAAATAGTTATTTCAATTGATTTTGAAGCCACGACAAAACAAATATTAAAAAATAATAATAATAGATACTTTTTATTATTTTGTATTTTTATCGATGACACATTATTTTCATAAACTTGTATTGGATGTGTAATTTTTAACATAAAGTGATAAATTTAGTGTTACAACATTTACTATGACTAAAATACTAAATTAATAAAAAAATTAAATAGCAATTTGACTATAATAGTAATTCAAATACTTCAAAACATTTGTGCCACCCTAGATAAGTCTTAGTAGTTAGTATATTATACTATAGGTGATCAACATTTAAAAAAAATAATGATATTAGTTTTTAAATCTTTACACACCACAATAGAAGTATTTAATGTTATTTATTGATAACTTGTGGAACCAAAAAATGTACGACATCTAGACATAGTAACGTTTGATTATTTTAAAATCTATTATTAAAATTATGCACTCATATTGGGAGAAGGTGTCTATGTTTATAAGCAAGTAATGATAAACATGTTTTTTAATAACTTATCAAAATTTAACACATTTAACTCTATATAAATACTATAAGAACTTGTGCCATTACCATGTTAACTTTGATATCAATTTAATTATTTTATTTACGGTTATTTTTGGTCTTTTTAAATGAGTACAATATCCAACTCTCAATACCTTAAGTAATAACTGAAAATTGATTATATTAGTAAAACATACATTATGTTTCATCAAGTACGCATATTAGGCTTCGGAAAATGCAAAGAAATGTACGAATTAACATCACTAAATATTCTATGTGCTTATTCCATTTGTCATCTGGTCAAGTGCACCGAAAATAATGTGCACATCAATTACATTATCAGTCATAAGTATAACGCAAGTTGAGTGTTTTGACTTGTTGTCATTTTTGCACTGTGCAATAATGTGCGCAGCGATTGTGTGCACTACTGCACTTATCGTGTACACCGAGATACCGTTCCGGCCGTTTGGCCTTCGCAACAATCCAAATATTACGCTATTTTCATGATTTGGAACATATTCGTTATAGCACACGGGGTACCTACTCGGTTGTGTAGATACGATTTATGTTTTTAATTTTTCTCGAGTTTGGCTAGTAGTGCACTTGCACTTGTACACGAGTCGCCGCCGAATCGTAAATGCACTTTGAATGGTTTTTTTTTTCTATAGAATTACGACTGCGTTCGCCTGTAGGTATTTTGGCCGTTATTCGTCTATCAACGCTCGTACATAATTACTTGTGTCCGATGGATGTGGGCCGGCAGATTAGGAGGCCTATTTGCGTACGCAATAAGTGCGCGGTTCGAGTCGAATTTCAGGTATAAATCCTTCAACCGGCTAGAGAGGCGGCGGCAGAGTGCAGCACTGTCGATAACATCTGCTTCAGCACGACGTGCTAAATATTAAGTGCCCGAAATTCGGCAACCGTACAATGTCGTAAACCGTGTTGTGCGGCACGTGTCGTATAGTGCGTACAGGTACGTCGCGTCGGGTGGTATAGGTGTATACCACCTCGGCGCAGGTCTCCGTGCCGCGTCCCTGATTTACAACCGCGGTAACGTTGCATAAACTACGGTATACGTTATGAGCTCGGAGAGTATTGTTGACGGGGACGGGGGGTCGTGGGAGACGGTAAGTAGTAGCCACTATACCGTCGCGCGTTAATTGCCAGAGACCCGACGGTGGCGGCCGCACACGACGCTTTGGAAACGATCCAAGTGCATCTTGGTCTTGGTCTCCCAATCACTTTGCCGATCCCGGCGAAATCCGTCGTCGCTGCTGCGTCGAGGGAGATTGCGAACATTTCGGAGTGAGGGTTGTTGTGGCGTTGGCGGCGGCGAGTGGGTTGGATACGGTTGGCCCCGTTAAGTCGAGATTTTTCAAAATGTAATGCATTTGAATGCTGCGCAGCGACCGCCGCACACTGTATAATGTCGTGGACAAGTTCAACGTACAATACGCGCATACCGACCAATTATTTGCGCGTATAGTTTATATTAATCACGCTGTCTGTTGACACTATATTCAAATAATAATGACAATAACACAATATTGGTTGAATATCTCCAGAAAAATAATCACGTCGACGACGTCATCGCGATGACACGGACACAATATGAACACGGCGTGACGCGCCCGTTTACTGTGCATTATGTCGGGTACATGTCGAACACTATAATATAATGTGGTCAACTTTGAGATAGTCGAGTGATACTACGATTGTGGTGGTCTTGGTTTCGAAAGCGATTTAGCCGATCATATAACAATCACACGACCTATGTATAGATACCTAGCTGTTACGAGCTCGACACGTCTATATATATATATACACTGGACCACAATAACTGAATAATAAAAAGTATTGTAAAACTCGTTCTTATAAGTGAACTCTAATCCTTTTGCTTCGACCACTGTCTACGAACGCCCAAAACTCGCCTCGTACTATTAACTTGTACTGCGGTCTACTAAATACCATCCAAAATATACATTTTGCTATATTCAATATAACTTTAATCCCTGCCGGGATTCCTCTATCACTGTTATAAGCGTGCTTTCTGCGAATTCAGCGTTCAACACACGATCCACCGTAAATAATGTATTTTCTCTCAGTACACTTCATCGCGCGTGCGCGGTTCAGTGCTTGTTTTATTTTCTCGCTCCCCAATTGACCATATCAGCCGATCTTTATACATTATAACAATACATAATAATATGATGCTGTTACGGGCAATCCTGAGATGTCCGCGCACAAATAAATAACAAACACTTCCGAACTAATTATCACTTTCTATATTTAAATTTGAAAAGAAAACTTACAATAAATTTAATGAATTAATATATTATGTTAATAAATGGTCTGACAATAAAAATGTTCTGGAGAGAATCACAATGTTCTGTCTTACTACTATAAAATCCAACTGCCACGGCTTGCTATACGAGCCGTGTCTATAGCCAGCGCTTGCCTGGAATTGCTGTCACAGCAATCCTTCCAGACAGTCGCCGCTGTACAATATTATTATACGCTAACTATATTAAATACTAACTAATATTACCAGGGGTTCTTAACAATGCGATATATATATATATGTTGTATAATTGCAGTGTGTTGTAATATTTTAGGTACATAAACGATATTTGTAACGTTCTTGAAATGGAAATCGTGACATCATGTTTTGTTTGAGGCTTCAGTACAGAAAGATAATATATTATATGTTATATGTAAATGAAAAACAAAAACAGAAAAGAAATGTTCACACGTGAAGGGGACTTAGCTGCAATCTTGCAGTTTATTATCTTTATCCGTGACAGCTGCAACGGTATTCCTCCTAGTCGTCTGCGTGTGTGTGTGTGTGTGTGTGCACATTGCTGTCTTGTTTAGCGTATAACGCTTATTGTGCTGAATTATGTGTTTCAAATGGGTCGGGGTAAGCGATCCGTGGCGAATAAAAAAACCCTTTTCGTTTTGTACGTGACGTGAAGTACGCGAGATCAGAGGGGCATTTAGCAGAGTGGTCCCGCCGATTTGGGTCAGTTTTCCTGGAATAGGCAAAATTTAGGGAAATATAGAGGGTGGAAAACGAGATACAGATATAAAGGCGAGTGGTATAACGTTATAACAATAAATTTCCATCAACTCGATTTTTTTGTTTTAATTATTCAAGTTTTTTCTTACAGCAAAACTAAAACAAAAAAAAAATAAGCCATTTAATTTCGGGTTCCATTTTAAATTTCATTATTTACAGTGGCCAAAATATTGTACTTGCTCATAAACTTGTTCCAGAAATTGTTTATTTTTACCTTGGAATATATTTATGGAAAATAATTATAGACTACCTATCTATTGTTTTACTAGTCGTCAACACTTAAACTTAAATTTAAACTCGAATTATGAGCCACAATACTGTAATTTAAATGACGTAATGGTGTAAAAGCCTCGATAATATTTTACCGTTATTGTTTTGACACTGGTTTGTTGTCATCCCACCATGGTTCATCGATTGTACACTACATATTTTTACCAACCAATATTATTCATGTTTCCACCCGTATTTTAAAATTAATTTTTTTTTTAAGGCATAAGGTAAACGTTGAGGATATACAACGAAATATAAATTTAATATTACTTAACATAATATTCTAATAAATATTAATAAGTTTTCTTTTCTAACGACGTTTTAAATTACTTTCTAAAAGTTGTAATATTTTAAATAATATCTTAAATTATAATGTCTTTAAACGATGTGCTACATCAACGATACTTATATTTTGCAATCACCAATATTATAGTTCATATTACTTTAGTATTATTTTAAATTTGTTGACCCTTGTGGTAAGATTGAGACATCATTAGCTAAATGAAATCATTATTTTTATTTATATTTATTTATTTATTCTTATTATTTATAGTTTATTTTTATTTTTATTTATTAGTTCTATTTTCAAATTCCAATAGGTTATCTAATGTAATAATAAAAATGTAATATTATTCAACAAAAGCAAGATTACGGTTTAGATATTGGTTTCCATGAAAAAGAAACCGTTGTAGACTATAACAACTAATTGCCCCTGTTAATTTCTACAGCATTTAAAATAAAATTCTACTTCTCATATCTCAAGTTTATTAACTTTTATCAAGTCTTGTTAACCAAATAATTGGATGCAACGCGGAAATGTAATATTATGAGTCGCATCGTGTTACGCTAAGTATAAATATCTCAACCTTGAATAGAGACCGTTTTCTTCATAATATCCCATACACACACACATATATATATATATATAAATTATCCCCAATCAGATTATTTTCTCGAAATCCATTGGTCGAGCACGTTTTTCCGCTCGTCTCGAGGATTTAATACTGAGGATACGCTTCTGATAGTTTCGCGTGGGTTTCATAACAATATATTTCATTTAATAACCTCCTTTACTAACAATTTAAAACCCCATCCCATATTTCCAATAGGTATCTGGTGTGTTTATATATATATATAGTTTATACATTATACACGCAGTATACAACATCGTATATGATAAGATAACAGTCCGTAAACCACCGAGGAGAAGGATAACAGGATAAGCTAGTTCATATAATTGCGATTACACGCTCAGATATAGCCAACAATACGAGTATCATATAGGTAGGTACCTATAATATAATAATAATAACATGCTCTCGTACTGCAGCAGAAAACCCGTGCGGATAATCGCTATTATTTTTTCGTCATTCTACCAAAAAAAATTATTAAAGCCCGAAGTGAACACGAAACGGGGCAATCCTGCAGGCCATACGACTATTGCAATAGTAATAATAATAGTAATAATAATACCTTTGGGCGGTCGCGAAATCGCTGTTGGAAAAAAAGAACGAAACGAAATAAATTTTAAATCCGAAACGCACAACTATTTGCGTACGGTGCGCATAGTAAAATAACGGAATTAATCACGGGCAAATGGGGGGGGGGGGGGTGCAGGATTCCAATATTATAACTGTGGGGCCTACCGCATTTTAAATGGGTTAGTGCATAATCCCCGAAACATTGCGCACGAATACATTATACGTGAGTACATTATAATATTATACACTTACATGTGGACCTACAAAACGTTAGTTTCGTTTGTTCCAATGTTCAAACGGATTTAATTATCGACGTGGAAACCCATGCAGGTTAGCTTGCCCGATGTTTTGTCGTCGAATATTCAAACTGTGCAGTAGAAATGATTTTTTCGCGAAAGCGTCGAAAGTAGGTAAGCGCGGATTTTTTGGAGTGTTTGTCGGGAGAAAAAAATTACTCGACTGAATGGACGAAACTAATGGCGTTTAAAGAAGAAAAAAAAAATTAGAATTCTAATATTATTGTACCTGCACCTACGCACGACGTCATCATTGTTGAAGTATTATTATTACGTCTTCGAATAATAATTCGGATCCATCGTCGAATGCGATTTGTACGCATATTTATCATATTAATTTGAGCACTCCGCACTCGAACTATACATCATTGAGTACCTACGTAGTCGATTGCTAATTATTTTTTACTGTACCGTAAGTACTCGAGTCCATTGATAAAAAAAAAAACAGCCCAATGCCTATAATATATGATGATATTATGTTGCTGTTAAAAATTGATGCTCATCGACCTCAATTTATTATTTCAGATATAATGTGATACGGGTAAAATCGTTTACGGAGTGATATTAAACATAAAATTGTTTTTCTGTTTTCTATTGTTAATCAAACATGTATTTTACTGACATTTCTGAATGAATTCCGTTACCTACACATGCATTCTTATCTTACTATAATATAATAATTGTAATAAATAAATTACAACGAGTTAAGGAAATGAAATGTAGCTCTCATGAGCTCTAATTATTTTTTGTTCTTAAATACAAAACGTTGGATTTTGTTTTTATGAATAGTGTTCTCAAATCGTTGTTATTGTCAAATGGAAACTAAAAGACCATCTCAACCTTGCCAACACAAAATAAATTTCAATGAATAGTACAAGAGTATTTTTTTTTATTTATTTATCTTCCGAAGCATTTGGAGTTAAGAGTGAGGTTGAAAAAATGGCTCAGATAACAATTAGGCTAAACCAAAAAAAAAGACTTACCGGAATTTCTTTGTCCTTTTATGTTTTACGTACCAGACAAAAGCTTTGTCAGAAACAAAGATTACATAGAGATCCGTGCAATTCGAGGCCATTATCCTTGGCGATATAATTTTTTCTCTTTACCTTTTCTCTTAAGGAGTAAAAAAAAATATCCATCCTGTTAGTTACCCGCATTAATATGTAGGTACTTAAAACAAAAGGCAGTGAAAATTTCTATAAAATCAACAGATTTTGTGATTTGGTTCATTAAATATCTTACATGCCACACAATTGATGAATAATATTATAAAGTCGCATTCTTGAGTTTGCCAATACAAAACGGCTAAATAATATATTTTTGTCCTACAAAATAATTTGTTAAATTGAGTAAGCATTTACTTATTGAATAATTCAAAAACATTAGTTTTAAATCGGATTATTTGGGTATAATTTAAACTATTAACTAATAAATGTATCTATGGATATAATGAAATAATATGTTATTTACGTTATATGGACAAAAATCATCATTTGATTTTGTAATGAATCGCACACAATTTACTTTCATTGAATTTGTAAAAACTGATAAATTAAATTTGTTAAATGAGTATTTGAATTCCCGTTAGAAAACTAATAAATCGATTAATTAGTTATTATAGTTATTTAAAACAGAAGTTGTCGCGATCTCATATTTAAAAAAAATGTTGAATTAAAAACTGATGTCTTCCGCAGTCCGCAACCTGTTTGGTATTAATTTAAAATACATTTTTCATTGACTATTTGCGTCAAAATAATTCGGCAATATTTCTTTTTAATACACGATTATTTAAATTTATATACTTTTTAACTTACAATCCAATAATTTATTTTTAAAATTTAATATTATTTTTGTGTTTAAGAAATTAATATGTGTAAGTCAAATTTATAAATATTAACACAACGGTTTAATAATATAGATACAAAATTTATGCAGTGTTTTTCTATACACAAAAATAACTAGAATACATTCAATTTCAGAAACAAGATTAAGTACAAACTGGATAGTTTGTTAATTAAATTGAGTACCTACTGTGGCTTGTGACATGCTTCGCCGAGTAACAATTTTCAATTTTTACTGTAGAGTTTACAAACACGATTAAATATTTTTGTAAATTAATTGTAATTATAAAGGTAAAATTGTGGTTAAAAGGTTATTTACTCATTGTATAAATAAATGCAAAATAAAAGTTTTTATAAAAAAATAATCCTCTAAAATAATTAATACAAATTCGTTGAAATAAAAAACCGTAAAAAAGACATTTTAATTCATTCTACTGTAATATTTAAATATATTTTAAGAAACTGAGATTCAATTTTCCATCTCTCGATATAATAACAGTTTATGAATCATGATAAGCTACATTTTTTATGAGATTACTGTATTTTAGACGCAAATAATAATAATAATAATAATTATTATTATAATATAAACATACCTCCAAAAGTTATTATTTTCAATTGGATTTGTTTTGTCGTCAAAGTTTTCATTAAAAATAATGCGGTTAGTTTTAAATTTCAATATTTAAATGAATTGGCAGTCAACCAGTTTCCATTAGCGTGAATCAGAAAAAAAATAATTATAATCTCGAATGATGTTTATTTTCAACAAAAATACATACATACTAGTATATAATATGTAATTGTAAGAATTAAAATCGTTGTTTTCAATTTTGTTTTTTTGTTTTTACTCTCCGGTACGACAACAATTAACTTGCAACCACCAGTTTGCTATAAGGTCGTGTCCACGGGCAGTCGATGACATATTATTATATTAAACTTACTCAATTAGGTATTATTGTTTTCGTATTATTTCTCACATTTTCCGTACAGACCGTTACAGAAAACATAATATTTTTTTTTCGATTATTATTATTAACTAACCCGTGGCAAAATAGGCAACCATGCGGTTATTTTTAGCGGGTATTCTTTTTAACTGTAAGGGAGGGTACGGTGGGTTCAGAACACGCGTATGTGTGGCAAGGAGTTGTCACTATAGGAACCCACGGGTGGTCACCCATCCGGGAACTAGTGGCACCGGCCGGTGATGGCACATAGATCACGTTTTGCGACTGAAACCGGACACCGCGCCACACTGGGCCACAGAAACACAATATTATTGTACAATTATTTTATACGATTTAATATTTTATTGTATTACCATACAATAACCCACCACTGGTATTGTGATGTGAGTGCAGACTGTGAAGCTCATCGTGTTACTATTTTTATAACCACTTATTTAAATATCATTTGATTCCTCTGATTATATTTATGCCTTCAATTGACGTGTTTCCAAATAGACTTTTGTAAATATAATAATTTTATAAAATATTTCTTGACAAGAATAACATACAATGTTGCCAGCGTTTAGCTCAACCAACAGTATAGACCACTAGGGCCTTAATGAATAATATTATTATATCGTGATGATATACTGTATTTACAGAACGATATTCTGATAAGAAAATAAATATTGGAAATGTATTTTTTGAAAGAATAGTTTTATGCCTTATGTTGTTTTTAATTTTTACCGTCTGAAATATTTGTAATATAGAATGATGGTCAAAACTTTTTTTTTAATCAATTTATAATGAATAGTAATTTAAAAAACAACTCTCAATTAATACCAATAGTGCAGGGGCGTTACACACCAATACCGACGACGGGACAGGCACTGCAGACATGGCAAAGTACAACCGTCGTTGACACAAAAAACATCCGATTGGCTAAGCTCCGATCGATTTTTCAAGAGAAACGAATTTGGGTGAGAAAAACAAGTTGCCAATGATCTACAAGTGCACATTTTATAACTCTAAAACCGTATAAAATCTAAAGTTTAATGTCAGCGGAAATATTGTACTGCAGTTAATATATAGTTGTCAATAGGCCACATGGTGTTTTTTTAAACTGTCAACGTTTTTTTGATAAGCTTAGATAGGAGCTCTTTTTAATGATAGTGGTTGTCATATAATAATTAATGTCTAATTGCGTAGAAGGTATTTCACGAACGATATTTAATAATAGTTGCACGAGTCACGCAAGTGATTTTATTAATTCAGTTTCATCAAAGTCAATCTTCAACAGGTTACTTTTTTCGTAATCCTCGAACATCAAAAACTCAAATTCTTATACTTGGCACGGCTGACACAGGTGGTCGACAGCAAAACGCCGCTGGCGCGTCAGTCATTGTATTGCTCGTCGTACTGCGCTTTGCATCTATCTAGTAAATATTATAACAATATTATCGTAAACTTTGCGGATGCACGAACCTTATTCGTTTCCGAGTTTTCGTTGATTGTTTGTGTTAACGACTGCATTTAATGGTACTGCGTATATGCGTTAACACTGCAAGTGAAGTGCATTCCATTATTCGTCCGTATAGTTCTCCTCCTTACCATCTTACTTTATGCCCACGCTAATCCGTGTGGTAACAACAGCAGTGCGTACGAACAAAATACAAATAATGTTTGACAACACGTGCGATGGATATTAGTCGTGCGAGGTGGAATGACTCGATGACAAACTTTTGTAAAAAATTATGCACAATTTATAGATGTCTGTGCTGCAAGTGCAATAACAATTTTTTTGAACACTGAAAATACAAATAATTATTTTATATCACATTTTTTTGGGGAGGGGGGGGGAGGCAAAGTTCGAAATATCCAATTTATAAATCTGATTTCAAGTCCAATAGTTATTGTTTATTTAAGCCGAGTAATTAATTTTTTATAATTTTTTTAAGTATCGATATTTGTTGTTGTATGATTGTTGTCTAATTCGAAACGTAATACTTTTTATCAAAATATTGTTTTTGGAATTTCAGACACCTTAAATTAATTTACAACTCATAATTTTTTTTCATTTTTCATTTGGCGAGTATTTCTGCTAGTCTTGTAACTCTACGGTAAAAAATGTGTCATAATATGCTAACGAAATAGATGACCCCGTTATGTTTTTCAAATATAAATCCACCGTTATTCCTGGGTGGTAAATCATTTTTTAAGATGTAAGCGTTCTCATTTTTATCAGACCGAATTATTGAAGCACTATATATAGTAACACTGACACACGTATATGCGGAACAACCCCCGAGTCTTAATGGACTATACTTTTTTTAGATTATATTTAAATGTCTTCAGACAATTATTTATCTTTTCTCAAGTTTTTCAATATTCCGATATTTATTGTGCGCATATTAAAGTGATGGCTTACGGAATAATATGTTATTTCGAAATACGCATCAACATAATATAACTGTCTGCGCG